AACCTTCAAACCTCTCTCTCGTTCCCTCTCGTCTCTTCTCTCTCCTCTCTCTCTCTCTCTCTCTACCTCTTCTCGTCTCTCTTCTCCTCCTCTCTCTCTCTCTTCCCTCTCTCTCGCTCTCTCTCTCTCTCTTCCTCTCTCTCGCTTCCTCTCCTCTCCCCCCCTCCCTTCCTTCCTTCTTCTCTCTCTCTCCTCTCTCTCTCTACTCCCTCCTCTCTCTCTCTCTCTCCTCTTCTCTCTCTCCTCTCTCTCTCTCTCTCTCTCTCTCTCGTCTCTTCTCTTCCTTTCCTCTCTCTCTTCTCTCTCTCTTCTCTCTGCTTTCTCCTCTACTCTCTCTCCTTCTCTCTTCTCTCTCTCTCCTCCCTCTCCTTCCGCCTCCCTCTGCGCTCTCTCTTCTCTCTCCTCTCTCTCCTCTCTCCTCTCCTCTCCTCTGCTCCTCTCTCCTCCTCTTTCTTCCTCCCTCTCTCCCTCTCTTCCTCTCTCTTCCTCTCTCTTCTCTCTCTTCTCCTCTCTCTCTCTCCTCTCTCTCTTCTACCTCTCTCTTACTCTCTCTCCCTTACACTTCTCTGTGCTCTCTTCTCTCTCTTCTCTCTCATCTCCTCTCTCTCTCTCTCTCAATCTAAGTCCTAACCTCCCTCTTTTTTTTATTGAATTCAGTTTATACAGTACTTTCGCACGAGTGTCCCCAGGCATATCAGAAAAGACTCGTGAAGCTTTTAGCCCAATAAGACTGGGGAGGAAGCTGAAGACCGAAGAAGAGAACAAAGATAAAAGCTAATAGCACTAAAGACAACAGCCAACATCAACCTTCTTATCAAGGATTTGTTCCACCAGCCCCCGTCGTACAAGGTATGTTGTATCTAGGTTGCAGAGCATCCATTCACATGGTCATTAGTCATTTAATCTTTTCTCTTTTGTCAGAAAGAAATCAAAAGTTTTTCATTGTATTACATTTTTGAATTCCAAGCTTTATAATATTGTTGGAATTTATGAATTTGATAGAGATAGTAAAAAGGTAATTCAGCAACAACGTATTATATAGAAGGGGCTGCTACTATGGGTTTCATATGTACTGTTGATTTTTTGAAGAGAAGATTAATGATGAAGTACAGTTTGAAATGACACTTTTATTATATCACAGACCAACATCGCACTTTCATGGAAGCCAGCATCTGCATCCAGCAAACCAGCAGTTAATGGGGCTGAAAAACGACACACACCAATTACTTTTGATTCAACAAGTCCAAAGAGCATGAAGGGAGAACGGCAGATATATGCTCCACCGAGAGACAAGTACAGCCAGAGGGCAGGGCAGTACTGTAAGTGTTGTTTAGGACATGATCTTGAGATGATATTAGAATTAGGTTTGTTTGAGATGTTGCATCATATTCATGTTCCTATGATTTTCTTGCTAGTGACTTACCTCTTCTATTCCTTTACATTGACAGCTGGTGGCACTTTCCGTGGACGAGGCAGAGGACGAGGGAGAGGATTTGGGTATAGCTCAAGCCGTGGGATGCCCTATAGAGGTGGTTTCCGAGGAAGGAGAGGAAACTTTAGGGGCTACTAGTCTGCTAAAAAAAAAAAAAAGGAAGAAAGAAATAAAAAAAATTAAGGTTAAGAAATAGAAGAAAAAGTTCTGGAGAGAAATTATGGTACAGTGAATTTTGTGACCTGACCATTATTGATTCGGAAATTTGCAAACACAAGAGGATTTTATATTCTACATGAACCTTGTTGGGATTTTGATTTTTGAATTCAGTGTTTGCTGATTTTAGAGGCTTGCTTTGTTGATAAAGCTTCAGGTTTATATTCGTGTTCTTGGATGAAAAAGTTTACTGAAGGCATTATGGTCTTCAGATACTTATATGCAAAACTTGTAATTCTATTTCATTAAGTGAATGTTATATTTTCATTTTATATTTATGGTTTTAATGGAATTCAAAAAATCTTGAAAATTATCTTTAATTCTCATTATAACAGGAGAATAGTTAACACTTCAGTTGACTTTAAGTTTGCTTTAATACTGTAGACATCATTTATGTCTAGTTTAGCTATGATTTTGTTTGCTCTGAGTAATCATATGTATATAAGCATTTGTAGAAAAAATAATAATGCAGAAGACATGGATAGGAGTCAGAAAATTATGGTTTGAATTTAGATTGTTGAAAATATAAAGATGTGGAATCTGTTAACCACATATATGTCAA